CCGGCAATTTAACAGTGTAGTCTTTCTCTGCTTTGTATTTTGTGTTATAGACATTCATTCTGCTGTATCCCAAAGCTCAGAGTCACAATGCTTACACAGCCCACACTCTTTGAATCCTCCATGTTTACTCCTTCTGAGGCTCCCCACTGCTCCCTGAAGGCCTAGGTGTCCATCAGGGGTGATTTTCTTTCCATCCCAAAAGTTCTCTGCAAAGAACTGTGCTCTGAGCACAGATCTGCTGTTTACAACTTTCCAAAACTTATGCCTGAAAACGATCTTCTTTTATCTTGGTTCTGTACCTTTTTTAGCTCTGTCTTCCAGCATTATAAACATATTGTTCCACTGTACTTAGTATTCACAGTTCCTCTTGTAAGGTCAGCTACACAACGTTATTTTCATTCATTTGCAGTATTTATTTTCTCTAACTACTTGTAAAGATTTTCTATTTCTTCAATTTTCAGTATTTTTATTATATTGTATTCAGATAAAATTTATTTTTTATTTTTCCTGCTTGGGACTCAGAGGCTTTCTTAAGCATAGCACCTAATTTCTTTTAGCAGTTTGGGAAATTTATATAATTTCTTCTAATGCGGTTGTGTAATATCCCTGCACCTTTTCTGTAGATTTCATGAATCTCCCTTCACATTCTTCTCTTCATACATTTCCTCTTTTCTCTCTCTTTGTAGCCTTAATATTTTTGCTGTGTTCAGAGTTAATTTATTACTGAAGTCCTCAAATGTTTTCCATTGTTGTTGGTGAGACAAGGTTTCATGACATGACTCAGGCTAGCCTGAACCAGCTATGTAGATCAGACTAGCCTCAAACTCATGATCCTGTATCATTTCTCTAGGGTGATGCTAACACATCTAGCTCATTTTCAACTTCTTAGTATTATCATCCTCCTAAATTCTTCACTTTCAGCACACCATAATCATAAAAAAGTCTAGACTAGTGGCTCTCATCCTGAGATTCCCATCACTGGTTGGTTAATTAATTAATTAATTAATTAATTAAAAAGTCTGGACAAGTGGCTCTCATCCTGAGATTGCCATGACTGATTAATTAAATCTTTGGCTCTCTGTGCTGTTTTATTTTTTTCTAGTGGTAACTGGGTCTGAGAAACATAATCTGTTTTAGAGACCTTGCATGTTTAAAAGTTTAAAAATCTCTTCTCAGTTTTAATGAGTAATTTAGTTAGCTATAATCTCTAGAGTATGAGTTAATTCTCTTTCAGAATTTTGAAGATTATAAAATTTTATTTGTAGCATCTAGACTTTGAATTGATGAGGTCAACCAAACTTGGATTTTTTTTCCCACTGAAACTGTAGGTTAAATAAACTTCTTTTGTTTTAAAAGCACATATCCCGATATTATGCTATAGCAACAAAAAAGAGAATAGTACAGAACTCTTGCCTATTACTAATTTGCATCAAGTCTACTTGTACAAAAAATCAGGACAGTACGTTAGGAAAAAGGAAGGAATGATATTTAAAATGAGCCAACATGACTGAGATCAACACAGAAAAATAAAATGAAATACATCCATAGTACCAAAAAAGAAATGTCTAGGAGTCAACTCAGGATATCCCATTTGCTAGGAAAGCACTCTATCAATGAGTTACTTCATTGCAAGCCTACATTTTATGGTTTTAACTAATAAAGATGAAGGTGACATAAAATAAGGGCAAGTTTGTGGTTATTTGGCTGTTTGGTTTGGTTTTCAAGACAAGAAACCATTTGGTTTCTCCACATAGCGCTGGCTATTCTGGAACTCATTCTGTAGATCAGGCTGGCCTCAAACTCACAGAGATCTATCTGCCTTTGCCTCTCAAGTGCTGGGTGTGTGCCCCCATGCTCTCCAGCACGGACAAGTTTTAAAATGTATCAATATCCCTTTCTGACTATAGACAGATAAAACATGAATAAGTAAAAAATTTAAAAAGAGTAACTCAAAACCACTTGCCATTTTTCCGGGAAGTCTTCTGCACTATCACTGGGGCACAGGGTTGAGCAGGTGTTACCTCAGAAGTGGTAGAACCGGTGTGATGAGCCTTTACCTTGTCAGCCCAACTGACACCTGTGGGAGCCAGACATGGGGCAGTTACTGCACCAGGTAAATTCCTATTGAGAAAGGGAAACACATGTGATCAATTAAATAAATATCAAAGTAATTATTGTGAAAATATGCCATTATATGTAAATTCCTAAATCTTTCTTGCCATTACTAGTTTTTATAAGTAACAATGCATGTCATCCTTAACACAGGAACTACAAAACCTGTCCCTTCTTCTCCATGAATGTTTCTTTCATAAACTACAAACATGATGCTTCATTGGCAATATTCAATTTTGGCTCCTTGAAAATTAAGTAATACTATTTTCTACAGTTACTTTCCTCAAATCTGCAGAGTTATTCTATCCATTGCTTCTACAGTCACTTTAATAGTTCACATTTATCAAAAATCTGTTGCTAGCTTAGCCTGGAATTCTTTTCCTTCATTGACTAAAGAATTATGACACAATGAAAGTAAATTTATTGGTAAGCATTACAGACTGCTCAGGTCTGAGGATACACCAAGGCTATGAGACTACTAAGGGGCTCAGGTTTTTCTTGAGTTCAGGTACAACCTAACAGTGATATCTTTCTCCTATTCCGGTCCAAACGTGTCCATGCACGCCTTCTGCAACCAAAATTAGGTCCTGAGTCTTAATGCACTAACATGGAAACAGTTCTGTTGACTGGCTGGGGTTAAGGTAGCTTCCAACTTCCTTTTCTGTGGTGTAACAGGCAAAGAAAATGTATTACAGGTAAGGAGACACAATCTACTTTCCGTTCCACCTTTTCTGTTCCCTGGATCAATGGCTTTAAAGACTCCCATTTTTTTTTTTCCCAGAAAAAGTGACTCTGCTGTATACATATTAAATAGTTTACTTCCTATTTAAATTTTGAATTAAAATAATAAGCAAAATCCAAACTTTATAACTAACATTTCCATTAGTTAGTACAATCCAGGCAGAATGAGATGTGGGTAGGTTCTAAAGGCAGCCTAGGAACTACATCACAAAGTAAAAAGAAGAAATACATTATACAATGATAATGAATAGGATCACATGGAGAACAGAGTGGAAACTTTATTCACTGCCAGGTCTAATACTGTCAACATGACAGGCTCTAGAATCACCTAGTAGACAACTCTCTGGGTATGTCTATGAGGCAGTTTCTAGATAGGACTATCAAGTATGATGCTTTTTAAATAGCATCAGAATGGCAAGTGATTTTGAGTTACTCTTTTTAAAAAGACCTACCCAAAAGAGACCAGCACCACTGCACAGGTTTGGGTCCCAGACTGAAGAAAAAGGAGAAAGCAAGCATGTTGTAGCATTCATCTCTCTCTGCTTCCTGACTGAAGACACGATGTGATCAGACACTTCACATTCCCAGCCACGATAAACTATTTCTCACCCAACAATAAGCCCATGTAAATCCTTCAAAGTTCCCTTAAGTTGCTTTTTCCAGGTATTTGTTAACAGCCATAAGAAAAAAGTAACTAATGCATGCATTTAAAGTCTCTAGCACTAAAAGAAACTTGCATTAAAATACTCTTAGAAAACAGACTAGTGAACTGCAGTAAAGAACTACTTATCTTATAAAAGCTCCCTTGTTTGAAAGAATGTACTGGGTTCTCTGTTTATGTATCTCTTCCTACCTGCCTCTTTCCACAAATTCAGCCCTACAAAGGATAATAAATAGAAAACTCCAACACAAGGAGAGAAACTACACCCTAGGAAAAAAAAAGGAAAGTAATCTTCTTTCCGCAAATCCAAAAGAAGATAGCCACAAAAACATAATTCCACCTCTAATAACAAAAATAACAGAAAGCAAAATCACTATTCCTTAATATTTCTTAACATCAATGGACTTAATTCCCAAATAAAAAGACATAGACTAAAAGACTGGATATGTAAACAGGACCCAGCATTTTGCTGCATACAGAAAATGCACCTCAATGACAAAGACAGACACTGCCTCAGATTAAAAGTCTAGAAAACAATTTTCCAAGCAAATGGTCCCAAGAAATAAGCTGGAGTAGCCATTCTAATATTGAACAAAATAGACTTTCAACCAAAAGTTATCAAAAAGACACGGAAGGACACTTCATACTCATCAAAGAAAAAATCTACCAAGATGAACTCTCAATTGTAAACATGTATGCTCCAAATGCAAGGGCACATACATTCTTAAAAGAAATTTTATAATTCTAACACCGCTCTGGATGTTTTAACATTACATAGTGAGCTTATGAATTTCAAGAATGCTGCTCTGCTGAGCGCTGATGCAGCAGATACTGCAGATAAAACTACCCATGGCCTGAGGTCAGTATTTCTATTTTGGCCAAGCTTCAAGAATGGCTTGATCATCCTAACCCTTTTTTGTTCTGGGTATATTTTTATTCCTGTACATCGTGTTAAAGCTTGTCTTTAACAACATCAACATGTTGGCAGCCAAAGTACATGTCTTGAAACTGAAAATGGACCCCCAGACAGAGTCATTAATTTAACAGGCTGGCAAGCCAAGGATGGGTAAGATTCTGCACAGAGCCTTACCAACCTAAGACAGAAGTTGTATTGCTTTTGATAATGTATATTCAATTCCATGATGGGTAAGGAAGGCATGACCTTCATTAATGATCTAAGACAGTCATTAATGAAATCAGTCTTGTTAATGGAATAAAAAGGGGGGAGAGGCAGAGAGCCTTTAGGGCTGCTTGGCAAGAATCTGACATGAGCCAAGGACAAGGGAATGGGCTGTTTGGCAGGAATATGACATTGACCAAGGACAAGGAAGTGGGCTTCAGGCAGGAATCTCACATTAGGCTAGAACAAAGAAGTAATTTCAGACAGGACTCTAAATTTTAGGCTAGAACAAGGAAGTAGGCTTCAGACATGAAAATGACTTTGGGCTAGGACAAGGAAGTAGGCTCAGATATTTTGGTCATCGTGATAAGCTCTTAGAAACAGTGATCATGGAAGTGTTCATGGAATTGTGTGTATTGTCTTGCTTGTTCTTTGACTATTTGTGTTTATTGTCTTGCTTGTTCCTTGACTATTCGCATCTATTGTATTGCTAGTTCCTCAGTCTAGAACTGACTTTAATACTTGGAAGTAATTAAAATGGTATAGAAGCAAAAAGAAGGAGGGGGGATGGGACAGGGGGTTCTAGGGAGAAGAAATGGGGAAAGGGGATGACATCTGAAATGTAAATAATTAAAACAAAGGAAAAGAACACTAAAATAAAAGAAATTTTTACTAAATCTCAAAGCACACATTGCACCTGATACAATAACAGTGGGAGACTTCAACAACCCACTCTCACCAATGAACAGATCATAGAAACAGAAACTAAACAGAGACACAGTGAACTTCATGAATTTCACAGGCAAATGGCTGGATCTAGAGAATATCATCCTGAGTGAGGTAAGTCAATCACAAAAGAACACATGGTATGTACTCACTGATAAGTGGATATTAGGCAAAGAGTACAGAATACCCACGATACAATTCATGGACCACATGAAGTTCAAGAGAAAGGAAGACCAAACAGTAGATGATTTAGTCCTACCTAGAAGGGGGAACAAAATAATCAAGGGAAGTAAAGGGTGGGATGGACTTGGGAGGAAGAGAAGAGGGGGAGGGATAAAAGAAGGGCAGCATCAGGTATGGGAGGAGATGGAGGACATGTACAGAGGGTAAGGAAATTGAACAGGGGTGTGTAGCAATGGGGGAATGGGGAGCTGAGGGTAGAAACCAGAAAGTCTCAGATGCCAGGAAAGCAAGAGCCTCCCAGGACCCCATGGAGATGACATTAGCTGAAATACCCTAGAAAGGGTAGAGAGAAGATGTTGAGATCATATCCAGAGGTTAGGCATGCTCCCTCCCACCCCAAGTTGATTGATATGGCTACCCACCCATCTCCAAACTTTTAACCCAGAATTTCTCCTGTCTAAAGGAAATACAGAGATAAAGAGTGGAACAGAGACTGAAGGAAAGGCCATCCAAAGACTGCTCCACCTGAGGATCCATCCCACATGCAGACAACAAACTCAGACACTATTGTTGATGCCAAGAAGTGCTCGCTGACAGGAGCTCAATACAGCTTTCTCTTTAGAGGCTCTGCCGGATCCTGACTAATACAGATGTGGATGCTCACAGCCAACCATTGGACTCAACACAGGGACTACAATGAAGGAGTTAGGAGAAGGACACCAACCCAACCACAAAACTTTCAACCTGCAATCTGTTATGGTAGCAAGATGTGCTGGGGTAAAGGTGGCACAGAAATTGTGAGTGTGGCCAATCAATGACTGGTCCAGCTTAACCATGCCACAAGAGGAAGCCTACCCCTGACACTGCCTGGAAAATCAGAAACCAGAGGCTGGATGCCCCCAGAGACCTAAAATAGAACCAAACATGACAGCCAAAAACAAAAATAGTAAATGAAGTGATTCCTAATGCCATTCTGCTAATACTCAGTAAGGAGCCTGACATGATCACAATCAGAGAGGCTCTGATCAGCAAGTGATGGAAACAGATGTAGAGACCTACAGCCAAACATTAGGAAGAACCCACTGAATCATGCAGAAGGAAGGAATGTAAGCGGTAGAAGTGTCAAAGACTCTACAAGAAAACCTACAGAATCAACAAACCTAGACTCATAGGGAATCACAAAAACTGAACTGACAACCAAGGAGCCTGCATAGGTCTGACCTAGGCCCTCTGCATGTTACAGTTGTGTAACTTGGTCTCCTAACAGTGGGAGCAAGGGCTGTCTCTGACTCTTTGCCTGCTTTTGGGACCTGTTTCCTCAAACCAGGTTTCCCTGAACAGCCTTAATATGAGGAGAAGTGCTTAGTCTTATTGCAACTTGATATGCCATGTTTGGTTGATATCCATGAAAGGCCTGCTCTTTTCTAAAAAGAAATGGTAGAGCAGATGGTGTAGGTAAAGTGTTCCTGAGAGGGGTAAGAGGAGAAGAGGGAGGGGAGGGGAAACTGCAGTTGGGATGTAATATATGACAGAATAAATTTAATGTTTTTAAAAAATAACACCATGTAAAGAATATCAGTAAGAAGAAATAAAACATAAAAAAGAACTACACAGACAGTCCTGAACAATACTCTAACTGAAATAAAAAAAAATTCATCAAGAAGACTAAAAAGCAAGTTTGAGCTATCAGAGCAAGCCTCAACAACTTCAAAGAAATATGAACTGAGAAGCTCTGAGTTAACTTCTGCTATCAGTATGAAACAGACTAGAAGACCAGTAGTTCTCAACCTGTAGGCTGCAACTCCTGTAGGAGTCGAATAACCTTTTCACAGGCATATCTCAGACCATCAGAAAACAGAATAAATATTTACACTACGAGTCATAACTATAGCAAAATTAGTTGTGAACTAACAATAAAAACAATTTTGTTTGGGAGTCACCACATGAAGAACTATAGTAAATGGTTATAGCATTAAGAAGGTTGAGAAGTAGTGCTTTCAAGTTTTGGCAGCATGTATAGTCCTGGCACTATGAATGCTAGTCATTAGGGTAAAGCTTCCAGTTGAACATCAGCTGTACTTCTCCATGTTCAGTGGCATAAATCTGTAGTATGTTCAGCAAAAGGGTGTTTTACTCAGCTTGGGGAGGGTAGCCAATGAACACAGTAAGGTGACTTCTAATGACACACAGGTACTCTCAGGTCAGTGTATCACTCACCCCTCACCAGAGAGGCTGCTTCTTGAAGGAGATGGTAATACAGAGGTCCACATCTAGACAATGTGCAGAATGGTTCCATCAACCTTAAACAGGATGACTTTACCAAACCCCTGCCCTGAAAGCTCAGACATCTATGCAGAAAAGGAGGAAGACAGTTGTAAGAGACTGAGGTATCCGGTAACTTCAAGGAAACAGCATTTTCCAACACAACAGGACTGATGCACATATAAACTCACAGACTGTGACAACATGCTAAGATCTGTACAAGTTCAAGCCATATAAAATTCCAACATGACGAAAGAGAAGTGGGCACAAAGTAGCACCTCTAGGCAAGAAACTATTTGTAACTGATAGCTTCTGAGAGAGGGAAAATAGTTTTCCTTCAGTACAGTGTTACTAGGTATATTAACCACACTGCAGGGCAGGACTTAATCTTAGGAGTAGCTGCCCAACATAAATTGACTCCCATGTTGTAGGTTTTTCTGTTTGTTTTGGTTTAAGAAGCTAGATGGGTGGGGGAGGGAGAATCTAAAAAGAACTGAGGGAAGGGAAAGAATTTTACTAAAATTTACTGCATGAAATTCTCAACTAAATAAATAACATAAAATAATAATTCAGAAAAAAATTAAATTAAATTAAATTTTAAAAAATTGCATGCTGGAATTTGGCTGGCTTGATCTTCTTCAGGTCTTGTGTAGGTAACCACAACAGCTATGCATTCATGAATGCAATAGCCTTGCCATGTCCTGAAGGGAAGGATTTTACAGCATTCCCCCCAGTCCTCTTAGATTCTTTTCTGCCCCCTCTTCTGTGATAGTTCCTGAGCCTTGAGGGTGGAGGACATTGATTCAGATGCTCCATCTAGAGTTGGCCACACAGTCAACTGTTCCTTTGTGTTTGTGCATGTGTGTGCTGAGTTCTGAGCAGAAATTGGTGAGTACTTCCTGGAAATGATAGATGGTTTTTCATATATAGGTTGATACCTATGAATATTTTTCTCTTGAATATACTGGTCTTATAATATTATGAGTATTTTCATCTCACCCAAAGTTTAAGCTTCTTCTTGCAGTTGATGTTACATTCATTCTATCTGTTGATGGGCTTTGAATCACATGACGTCCTGGAGACATCTTCTTTACTTCCCACGCCAGTGAGGTTGGTCTGACAATTCAGAACATACAGTATATGACTTTAACAGAAAAAGGAAAAACAAACTAATCTTTGCTTTTGGTTGTTAATGAGTAAAAACATGGTCAAATCCTAACTTCTGCCTGCAATCTTGCTTACCAGAAAGGTACCACACTAACAAGTAAACAGTCTTTGATGGTTTATGGTACAGGGTTTTCCACATAAACAACAGCCATTACTTCCCTCAAAAAGATCATGGGATTACAGAAGACATGAGACGTACTGCTTGTTTGCCACAGGGTACACTATGTGGGGTCTGGCTGGCCAGGAACTTGCTATGTAGATCAGGCTAGCCTGGAACTCAAGAGATCCTCCTGCCTCTACCTCTTAAGTATTAAAAATAAAAGTGTGCATCACCATACCCAACTGAGATAAACCTGTTACCATCTACAAGCGTCTCTATATGCTCAGAAAAGTAAGTTAAAGCAATACTACTGATTCAGGTTAATTTGTCTGGTTTTCCAGATAACTAGGTTTATGGAAATAAATCAAAACAAAGAAAATAGTGAGGGTTAAAAGGAGAGCACATAAAAATACATGAAATTTTCCTCTCTACCTCTTAATCAACATAGAGTAAAAATACAAAGACACCATTACTCTTAAGTGGAGAAGCTATGTGGATTAAATGACCTTCTCTTCCTCTTTATTCTCTGTCCCACAATCAACTGACAGGATACTTATCCTATGGAAATATTTTTTAAGTAACATGGTGTATTCAAAGCCTATTATTCCAGCCAGTCTCTCTATAGCTTACTTTCCATGTAATATAGTCAAAACAAAACAAAGCTATACAAATCTGATTACTGATAGAAAACAAAAAATTCAGATAAAATAGTATTCAAAAACCCAAAGATTTGAATAAATTAGAACCAAATCACCTTTCTGAAAGAAGTTATAGCCCTACCAGACGAAGGATATTCATTTCCATTCAACTTTGCCAATACTTGGCATCTTTTATTTAAAAAAATTTATATATCATCAAAATCGTTACATGGTTTTTGTTTTCTTTTTTTTAATTGTGTAATTTTATTAGTATAACTAGTAATGTTATGTATGTTGTTGCCATTTGAATTTTTTCTTTAGGAGTTTACATATTGGTATGCTTGGTTCACTGTTTCTATTAGAATTTGTTTCATTTTCCAAATGATTTTTAAAAGCACATTGCAGCTATTATCATGATTACCAGGATATATGGCTACAGATGCATCCTTAGTGCTGTTATTAGAATGTTTTACATTTTACATTTACATATAGGTTTATTCTTGTTAAATCCAGGGAGTGAAAATATTCTTTGGTAGTTTCTAATTTTATCTCAAAATCTTTATTTAAAATATAGCTATATAAATGCTTATCAGTATTTTTAATATATATGTATATATTCAATCCTAATCTTTAAACCCCAACTCAAGCATGACTTGAAAAATACGCTAATAAAGACTAATGCCATCAACAGGAAATTTAAGGCTGTTTTCCATGTGTTAGGGCTGCTTCATGAGGCAAACAGAAGACATGATGATAACTAGTTAATGTCAATGCCAAAGTGTGTGCTTGGCGTGGTGGTGCATACCTTAATCTCAGCACTCGAGAGAAAAAGACAGGTGGATCTAATTTGAGGCCAGCCTGGTCTACAAAGCAAGTTCCAGGACAAGGGCTGTTACTGAGTGCTGAGAAAATGACTCAGTGGGCACAATGCCTTGCCATGCATGAAGACCTGAATCTGGATCCCCAGAATCCCTCTAAAAGCCAGGTACAGTGGTGTGTATCCATAATCCCAGACCAGAAGGAACAGAGACAGGCAGATCCCTGGTTCTTCCTGGCAAGCCACTCTAGCTAGCTAAGCCTGATGAGCTCCAGGTCCAATGAGAGACCTTTCTCAAAAAATATGGTAAAAATTAATAAAGTAAGACACCCAATACCAACTTTTGGCCTCTCTATATATATACACAGAAACCCATATAAGCAAATACTTGCATGTACCCAAACAACACACACACACAAACACACACACAAAAAAAAATATTGGGACTTGAACATAACTCATATTCTGTCCTGTTCAACTGGTAATTTACTGCAGTAGGCTAAGAAAGCTGCTGAACGCTAGAATAAACAATATCACAATAATTTTGAACAGCTTATAAACAATGATGATAAGCGTTTTGATACACATTTATCTCCTTGCATTTCCTACCTTGTCACCATGAATTTTAAAGAAATTTGTGTAATTAGAATGTACATGAATGACTTCTCATAAATGATATATATTTTTAATTTGACTCAAAGAATAAATGAGTCTCAAGTATTCTTATGTGCTTAAAGTACCTTTAGCACATGAAAAGAATTGAAATAGAATAACCAAGAGAATACTAAATAGTTTACTGTAATATAATAATTAGCATATAATTAGGCTTTCTAAAGTTCTAAAATTATAACGAAGTGAAATCTTGATGTGGCAAGTAAATATATCTGGAGAAACTAAACAACAATCAATTTGCTCACTGCCTACCACGATAAGAAAATATATTATACCTTCCAGGAGACTGTGTTTACTTTAAGTATTCCCTACACTTACATAACTGTTGGATCTGTTGTCTTCATCTTCAAGGCCAATGTTCTACCCTCCAAAAACCGTATCACCCATATACATACAGAATTATGGATAAGTTCCATTTTGTTATACTATTAGATAACAAAATCCATGTGTCATATGTAGCAATTTAATTTCTGTACTAAAGAATATGACTTGCACTGGCAAGGGCATTAATAGTAAATATTTGTTACTGAACCAAATGAGAAATATTAGATTGTTACAGGTTTCAAATCAACCTGGTACGGAATTCACTGTCCATTGCCAATTTCAAAGTTTGCTACTGAAACTAGGGTTACTACAAACATAAATACCAGAATTCATTACCTGCTTTGAGCATCTGTCTTCTCTAACTTTTCCTGAAGTTGAATCCAGTCAATCAATGCTTTGAAATCTCTCACATAGTAATCCAGCATCATTAACACCTCCTAATTTAAATAACAAAACATTAACTACTATTCTGTGAAAAAAATTCTGTGGGGATAAAAAGAGCTTTAGGAAAAATTATCAAAGCTACGAGCTTTCACATTAATAATTTTTACATTTACATTCATTATAGAAGACATATAGTCTACTGATCTAATTTTTTTTGTTCTTTTGGAATTGTTGCTTGTTTTTCATTCTGTTGGTAAGATAATGTAACATAATCTGAATCGAGAGCTTAAAGATCAAGAAATGGCACTAATACATCTTCTCAAGGTCTTATTAACTAGCAATCATTTTAATTCTTTTATTGTGCAGTTTCTATACAGAAAAGTACATAAATAATACATGTATATTGTTAAAAAGAAAAAAGTTATGTGACCAATACCAAACACACAAACATATGAGTCACTACAAAGACCTTACAACCATCACACATGACAATACAATATTAATCTGAAAGTTCCTTGGTGTACCCTCCCGAGCCCCACCCCAGCCTCCCTCCTAGTAACCAGTGCCTCTAGTGCAACACTGAGTACAAGTGACAAGAGGAACCATAACTTTCTGATTTCTTAGAGAGAAACGCTTTCAGCTTTACAGCATTAAATACAATTTTTGTTTGGCTTTCTCACACATACCCATTATTGGATTGAGGAACTTTCCTTCTGTCCTTCCACCTCCACCTTTACATGAGTTCCAGGAAATCAAACTTGGGTTGCCAGGCTTGGGCAGCAAGCACCAATATCTTCTAAGCACAGCCCTGTGCTTTAATTCTAAAAAGTTCCTATTACATATAACTCAGACATGTTCTTTAGTTCATAAGAATCTTTCACTACTCTAAAGCTTTATGAAAGTTTACTACAATTCAGCTAGACTCCATCTTCAGTGGGAGAACTGGCCTTAATTATACATTCTATCTTTCTAGAAATTTTGATTTAAATAGACTGGCTGTCAGAAATTTTAAAACACACACACACACACACAAACACACACACACACAAAACAACGAAAATCTTTTTTGTTTAATATTTATGTGTATTGTTTTTTATTTTTGTAAAATCAAATCATAATTTTTACTTATTCACACAGGGGTTATAAACACAAAAGGGCAGGACGTCGGGAAGGGGATGACACCGGAGCGTGGGCTATTACTACAAACACACAAAAGAATAAGGTGATGACTATTAATTAATTAGCTTACCTGTAACAATCATTTCATTATAAATAGCAAAACATAAGTATATAACTTAAATATATTCATAACAAGTACAGGTATACATAAATAAATAATACCATCTACTGTTAGATCCAAAAACTATGGGATATTTATAGATACAAATCTAATAAAATAAATAAAGACCTATGAGGAAAATAACATAAGGCCAATTTAAAAAGTTAAAAAATGGGGGGAGCTGTTCTATTTTTGTGAAAAATTAAGTTAATAAATATTCTTAAGATGTCAGTTCCTTTTTTTTCTTTCTTTTTTTTTTTTTTTGATACATCTGTATCATAGCTCCTGCATCTATGGCTGAAGGAACATGGCAGAAGAGGAGGCAGAAAGACTAGGAGCCAGAATTCTAGAAATTCTGCTGTCAAACAGTCTCTCCAAGAAACTGATGTCCTAACTGAAACAATGGCAGTAGCAATGGGCATGTTAATGTAGTAGTGCCTCCCCCCAGACAAAGAGCTAGAAGCAACAAAAGACTGTTGGAGGAGAGTTATCCTCTCCCCAGGATGAGCCCTTTATTGGTTGTCTAATGCAGAGTGGTCAGCCCTGAAACCATACACACACACACACACACATCCCAAACCTACACACACATACACTCAAGCACATACACACACAAGTAACAATAATAAAGAAAATGAGGCTATCAACTCAAGAGAGGGGGTGACAGAAGGGGCTGGAGGGAGGAAGGTGAGGGAGAAAGTGATGTAACTGTATTTCAATTAACAACCTTTTTAAATAGGAGAGAACCTATCTAATAAAGATGAAACTCCTGGCTCAAAAAACAGTTTTCTTTTTAAAGTAGTTAAAGCTTAAAATTTTACCATCATTTGTTATGTGCTTGGTACAAAGTCAAATGAGACAGGAGGCAAGATGATGTAACCAAAGAAATTGCAGCTTTAGGTTAGTAGTGTCTCCTGGTTGGGTAAGGAAAGCAAGAAAACTTATACTGCATCTCCTACTGGTCAAAATGTCCATTTGTACTTCCAAGACAATACTAAATTCGCTGGATAGGATGGAAACATTTTTAAACCAACTTAGATTGGATGAATATACCATTTATGCTCTCTGATCACATTCATAGTTACCACAAAACCTCTAGGTTTCTTCTTTTATGTCTGTCTGTATCTTTGTGCACATGCATGTGTGGGTATACAAAAACATACACACATACACACAAACACACACACAATTAAGTATCTTTATCTTGCTAACCTAGAAACTCACTGTTTCAGCTAGGATAACTAAGCCGCAACCTTTCAGGAGATGCCTCTCTCTGCCTACCAATACTGGGGTTGCGACTATGCCTAACCATGCCCAGGTGCTAGGGATTCAAATTCAGGCCCTTGTGCTTGAAAAGAAAGCACTCTGTGGTGACCTGAGTAAGAATGGCCCCCCAGCTAATATATTTGAATGTTTCTTTCCGGGTTGATGGACTGTTTGGGAAAGACTAGGAGGTATGGCTTTGGAGGAAGTGTAGGTGGAAGTGGGCTCTGCAGTTTCAAAAGCCCATACTAGGTCCAGTCTCCCTTTCTCTCTCTCTGTGGAGATCTCATGTAAGTTCTATGCTACTGCTCCAGCACCATGCCTGCCTATCTGCTGCCATGCTCCCTGGCATGACAGTCATGGAGAGATTCACCCTTCGAAAAGATAAGCAAGTTCCCAATTAAATGACTTATTTTATAGGTTGCCTTAGTCATGGTGTATCTTCAAGCAATAGAACAGTAACTAAGACATGCTCTTACCCACCAAGCCATCTCCCTAACTCACTCCATCTTATTTTTTGATGCAGGATCACTCACTGACTGACTACATGGGCCAGCCAGCAGGAACTGGGGAGCCTCTTGTCTCTGCTTCCAACCACTCATGGTTTTTTTTGTTTGTTTTGTTTTTGTTTTTTTTGAACAAACACATGCTGCCAAGTCTGACTTTCTATGTGGATGCTGGCAATGCTAACTCAGATCATTGGGTATACACAACACTTACTCTCATCCTTCTCCTCAGGCCCTAGTGTTTTTCTTTAGGTAACCTACACTTACACTACTTTGACAATATATTCTATATGTCTTACAAAAGTAATCTTTTGTTATGGGTTGATCATGCATCTAAATCTCAAATTTTACTTTGTGTAATAAATGAATGTAAAGCACAGGTCACTAACTATACCCCATCCCCCATAAAGAAACTGATAAAGTATAGCTAAACATGTAAATATTGTTTCACCAGCCAAAGCTGTCACTTAAATGCATAAGACAAAGAAATGTAAAGTATATCCATTTTACCATCTTACAACATTCTCCCTATAAGAAATGTCAGTCATAAAGCTCTAGAGGTGTCTCACCAGGTAAGAGTAATTACTGCTCTTCGGAGGACTAGAATTCAGCTATCAACACCCACATGGCAGCTCACAACATTTGTAACTCCAATTCCAGGAAACCCAAGGCCTCTTCTGGCCTTTACCAGCACATGCATATGTTGTACAACATACATGCAGACAAACATACATGAACATAAAAACTTTTTAAAAAATCTTTTTAAAATTACTAGTCTCGGTTTACTATAAAGACTTTTCAGTAGGCTCAGGCAGTATTTAAAAATGCAGGATTTTCTCCACAGCTAAGTTTAGATTAACTTTGTAGAATCCATAGCAAATATCTTAAAAGTATGCATAGAGATACACTTCATAAATCAGACTCAGTATTAATAAATTTGTCAAGTTATTTACAGATGAAATTAAGTGCCACCCTGAATAGCCATAAAAGGTATATTCTACTTTACAAGACTTCTGAACAGAGAAGTATTGTTTATTTCTTTTCAAAGGTAGTAAGTACTTGGTGCCAAATTACTGGTAATGAAAAGCCTTCTACAATCAGGAAAGGGACAAATTAAAAGAGTTAGTTGGCTTCCTTCTTTCAATTCAACTAATATAACTCAAATTGTCTAATTAAATTCATTCTACTTAAACTACCTACATTAGAGCACAGAAAGATTTAATTTTGCATGATTTATTTTGGAAATTTTTAACTGATTTCCCCTTTGCTTGAAAAAAAGAAGTACATGACAAGACCATAGCAGCAATATTTCTGATACTAGTTGGCAGAGAGAAAGTACATTTGATGGTTAGACAGCATATTGTAAGGAATGTTTAGCTCAATGTTATCAAAAATGATCAGAATGGTAGCATGCAGCTGTAACCTGAGTCATGTTTGCAAATGAACGACTACAAACAGACGAGGGGCTGCCAGAGCGGCCAAGTCACTGATGCACGTCTTCCTCCCTGAAGCTATGAAGGCCATTTTGTCAAGCAAGATGAAGTAGAACAAAAGTGGCTCTGAAAGTAATGTTACAGGCATTCAGATAACTACATATAGAAATACAGCTAAAATTACCAATTAGTTTACCAATTGGCTGCGACGGATTCGATTGGTTCATAATTAATTTGAGTTACTGGCACAGAAAGCAGGATGGTTGACGCCATCCTCTGTCCTCCAGACACACAATACTAGTGCACAGGCCCTTGGGTCTGGAACATCAATATAGCCCCCACTTGAGCTACAGGAATGAACACAGTGGGTGTCAGCACTGATGAAGAGATGGAAACATCCATCATAAGGAATCAGGGCCAAAAGAGAAGTTTCTAGAGAGTTTTTCAGCAAGATGAGCATAAAGGGTTTTTTTGGGGGGCTTATTTTTGGTTTTTGTTTGTTTTTTTGAGACAGGGTTTCTCTGTGTAGCCCTGGCTGTCCTGGAATTCAATTTGGAGACCAGGCTGGCCTC